ATTACAACCCGCACGAAAAAAATCACAGCGTGAACCACACTAATATAGTGCGGATCACGCTGTGATTTTAGGCCTCGCCAACCCTTTGCCTGCAACTGCAGAACACCATAGACTGTCATCAATCAAGGAAAACTGATGTGAGGGAGAAGTTGAATATTATTTTTAATGCCTAACGCAATGATATTTGATTACAAGCTTGTTCACAAGGGGGCAGATATTATAAAATTGATTCAACTAAAATAGCTCGCAGAATAAAACACAGGTGTACCCCGTTGCGATTGTCAAACGATATGTGAAGTAGCTAGCTCTACTGTATTCTATAACTCGGCTCTTAGACGATTGCAGCTTATCGAAGGTATAGGTCACCAGCAAAGTTTGCGCATACAATCACACTCAGATGGAACATAAATTAAATATAATGATGTCATGCACTCCTTAAGTCTTTAGCCTACGTTTTCATAAATCTATCATGTAGCGGTAGCTATAGTGACTGTTGTGTCCTGCGTGTGACTGATTTGGTTTGAATTGCATGATATTTTAGACAACACGAAATAATTGAGAAAATATACATAGGCTACATACACACATACATATATAACATATCTCAAGTCAAAATATACCCTCTCAAGTCAGTAGACAGTATTCAGAGCTGAAAATGGCACATATATATTGCATGGGCATACTGTAGACTGTTTTGACCTGTGAAATTAATTCTATACCAAATATGTTCTCATTTTAATCAGTCATTTGAGGACGTTCTATTAGCTTCCACTGGTTAAGAAAAGATGGCACATCTTCATAACCTGCCAGCAAAATATGGCACATATTTCTGGCACAAGAGCTTCTATACTGAGAGAATATATGCGCATAAAAAACACGAGTCATAAATATACGGCATAGTTATACAGTAGTGTCAATAACAATATGTCAAAAGATCGTTTTACCTATATACATATTGTTTTCAAGGTCTAGCACAATACATGCATGCCATACATGCAATATAAAAACCAATTTGTTAGCCTTGAATGCTGAATATAGCTCACTTATAGTTATACATGTAGCTATACATCAATACATCATCTATACACGTTGACTGAGTACGGCATATTGAGTACCATATTGGTGTGCTAGTAATAATTCTCTCGTTTATTTTTACATGCCCGGCTCCATACAACAAATACAAGCTTTTTAGTACAGCGCGATCATACCCTTAGGATCGGATCATATTTTTTGCACCACAGCCGGCACAGGATATATTTGCCCGTTACAATTTTAATACACGCATCTCCAATTTTATGTTTCATAAATCTACACATGTACTTATTTTCTTATAAGTTCACATTTATGCAAATAACAAGTAGTTGTTTATTATTTGTTATATATCCTTAGTTTCATCAAATACAACATAGGCTGCTTTTAGAGTTTTCAAGTCCGAACATTGTGCCAACAACACGAGGCCATCACATTATCATATTTCACACAATACTTTTTGATCTAACATTTAAGGACTATTGCGGCGTTTCGTCCTTCATGGACTCGTCAGCAGGGATTTGGGATTGGTATATGTGTGAGAAGGACACAGAATACAGAAACCGATTTGGATTACAGAGTGAATAAACATAAAAATAGCAATACATGCGTATGATTATTGTAAAATAAATGTAACTATATAAACTGTCTTACCAAATTCGCTGCCATTTTTTGTCAAACCAACTTACCAACACGTTGCCGTTGGACCATGGTTGTAATTTCTCAGGAATGTTGTATAACTATAGCGCTTATATATATATATATATATATATATATATATATAGATTGTACTAACTATGCGTTGGATATGTGTGAATGGCCCTTGGCTAAGCAATTTTTTCCGTTAGAGCCATATTGCTAAAATTCCAAACGTCGAGACTGCAACAACGTACGTCACTTCTTTGTCTTGTACCAGAAACCAATCAATTGAATGGTGCGAGATTTCCATCGCTGCCGTAAACATCTTCGAGCTTGAGTTTCGAACGTCTCCCGCCAATTCCTTAAACGCAATATTCTGTTGGTTTCGATTCGGTTGGTAGCCATGCAAAGAGTCACTGAACGCGCACCAATTTGTCTTTGGATCAACATACAGTTCTAACAAATACTCGATGATATCGCTTCGTTGCAAACAAATCGAGTGTGATGTTAGTTTGGTCGTGCAATAAACAAACGCACCATGTCTGAGCCATACTCGTTCGCGCAATTGAATTTGGCGCGCTATAGCGCATATGCAGCCTTTGCCATTGGTATCAGTGTTGACAGCTAACTTCACTATATTCATTTAGTAATCGTTAGATTTTAACTATTTGCATTTTTAAATATTAATATTAGAGGTTAGAGAGGTATAGAATATCAAATCAGCTTGCTCATTAACGCAATTTGTACACATGCGTCTGTCAACAGAACCTACACCTGGCTCAGCCATGCTATGGTAACGAACACCTCCAGATTTAATTACTTCACACATCGTGCGGGTTGTAATGTTGTTCTGGATCTTGAAAAAAATGCTTTATCAGTGCATGTTCTCAAAGAAAGATATGTAAAGAAATGTGCAAAAGACATTTGTGGATCAGAATTGTACACGTTAGTAGTTTCATTTTGCTCAAAACACAATATTTTTCAAAAGTAATTACAAGATAGGTTTACTAAAGCAAAATCCGCGCTAAAAACGTCAATAAATATTGGGCTGTTGTGATTTTGCTGTTACTCGTAATGAGCGCGGGGGGGGGGGCCATGCCCCTATTGTGGAGACCCGTCGGAAAATTGTGAATGTTGTCGGAAATTTTTGGAAAATTGTCAACGTTGTCGGAAATTGTCAAAGTTTCCGACGTTGGTATATTCGGAAAATTTTGGATAAATGGAGAAAATTGGTGATGTCCGGAAAAATTTTAAAATGTAACGAAAAATTTTGGTATGTCCGGAAAAATTTTTTGACCCCTAAAATGGTACACTGACCGAAATTTTTTTGGCGACGGGGGGGGTCGTCCAAAAAAATTTCAGTTAAAAAAAATTTTCGCGATGTTTCTGTCGGAAACTATTTTCCGGTTTGTCGGAAAAGTACTGCCCTTGGCCCCCCCCCCCCCAAAAAAACATGGGTCCCACGGCGCCACTGAATGAGCGTCAAGATGGCGCCATATTGGGGTAAAGGTGGTATATTGTGATTGCATGTCATATCTTCTTAATGAGTTCGGTGATTTTTTGTATACTCGTGTTTATCATATTTTAAGTATATCATAAACTCCATGCCTGGGAAGTTTCAGCACATTCTCATTTCGGTAACAATTACTGCGGAATTACCTTAACAAGAATATTTTAATTTCTGTAAGGTCTCCTTTTTTAATGCACCCTGTCAATATTTTATGCATTCGTGTGTTCAGCATAGTGCTCAGGCATTCAAATTATAACAATAAGGTGAATTTCTAAAGGTTTCCTTTTTTTTGAGACACCCTGCATGTATATGTTTATATTTAGTATCCAATCAAAATGTCCTAGGAGAATAAATGTCAAGTTCACACAATGACAAACAACAATCTAATTCTAGTTAAAATACTAAATTATCATGAACAATATTATAATCTAATTAGCACTAACCAATCAAAAGACAGATTGAAATTTTTGTCTGATTGACCGATTAATCAGGTGAAAAGCCGGATTATGACTTTTTACATGCGGCCATGCAGACAGGGATTTGTGTCAGGCCCTCTATACCCTCCATGATACCCAGGCACCTCGAGTTTGGGGAGTGTCAAAATATTGTATAAATATTTTACCCGTCTTCTGTCGGTTCCTCTCGTCTTTTTCTCCTCCTGGCTGTAAAATTAAAAGTGAATATCAATCTAACCATTTGCTGCTCCCATACATATTGGCAAAAGGACAAAGTTAGCTGATATTTAAGAAATAGAAAACATTATCTGTTTTTCTACACCGAGTTATAGAAACACCGTGGGAGTTTGTCTCGCCGCTAATTTATTTATTTTAGCCCACAAATACGCCACAACGCCCGCTAAAGTTATTGTAATAAAAAATGTTCTCTGCGGTGAAATCTCTCTTCAGATCCAACCGTTAATTCTCGCGGTTAGACAAATCTACATATTGCAAAAAGGCTATAGTTTTAACTATATACTTACATTGTGACGCGCGTGCAGTGCTCGTGTGTGCAGTCGGGTGTTCAGTCTTATTGTTACCTGCAGTCGGTTTCTCAGTGATATTAACAGCTTCAGATGATTTTTCAGTGATATTGGCGACTTCTTTCGGCTTTTCAGTGGTCTCGTCATAATATGACCCAGTCTCGGAAAACAAGAATCTTTGTATCAACTCGTCAGGCAAATGCATTACTACAGAGCTATTCTTTATCATGTTCAAATTACAAATGGTAACAGCAGGAAAGTTTAATTGCTAAAATTAAATGGAGAAGAAGATTATATCATTGCATGGGCTTCGGTGACGCATGCAGTCGCCGGAGCAAACGTCCTTCACCTCATCTTCACCAAAACTCATTTGTACAAATGTTTCAAGCACCGTACAGATGAGCAAGTTTAAGTTTTCTTGACAAGTTTCTCATTTGTACGGTCAACAAGTTTTCCTTGACAAGTTTACTTTCTCGTGTGCACGGATTAAACATTTATCTCACGTTAGGTCGCCTTTTTTTTGCCAAAACCATAGAAGTATTTCTTGTATACACTTGTCAAATATAAAGTTTCCCTGGGGCTTGGAGGTCGTACACACGGACAAAGATGCCTGAAGCTGCCTATTGACTCTGCGATTGGTAAACTATTCCACATTTCCACTGTACAGCCCGCTATATACTTATAGATATATTCAGTATTCGGCTTAAGTTGTCCTTAATTGCTATTTTCCTTGTTGAAAAGCTTGCATGCATGACCAGATTTAGGGGCCATTTAGAACAAGGCCCCTTATCCAGAAAAAATATAGTACGGCTAATTTTTGCCGTACATGAACAAGTAAAGGCCTGGCAAACTTGACAAGGACAATTTGGTCGTCTGCATGGGGCTTTATAGTTAGAGACCATTGTAGTACCTTTTCAAATGCCACACTCACAGATGTTTGCACGGGTCGTGATGAATACAATTTGAATAGATTCATTACTTCTACGGTGAATATCCCAGAAGCACCGAGGATTGCCAGGATCCAGAATATTCTCCACACAAATGTCGTGGCCTCAACAAGTCTGCCAAAACCATGCACTGACGTATATCCCATAAACTCAACCAATATATCACGAGACGATGGTTTCTTTTCTTCTTCCGTATCATTTTTGTCTTGAAACGCCTCCATCAGTATGCTTATGTTATATAATAGAAGAAGTTTAGTAAAAAGGGAATAATGGAAAGTTAAGGTGAATATCTTTGCAATATTTACCGACACTGAAGTGAATGATTGTCTTAGCATAGCATATGCCATTAATTATGAAACAGAGATGACAAAAAACAGTTGCAAATATTTTGAAAACAACTTTTAAAAGCTGCCGTAATAGTTGTAAACAATACAGTATTTTTAACAAGCTTTTAGTAATTTTATTCATTGTTAATTATATCCAGTTTCGACGAAAATTCGACGTCCAAACAATATCGCTCGTATATAGATGTTTTATTTAAAATAATAGTTTCAAATGCTTGATGACATCCAGGCAGTAAAACAGCCCGAAACGTTGCTAAAATACCAAAATGCTAAACCTCTAATATTCTTGAAGAATTGAATGAAATTTGAAAATGATTTTAAATTTATTTATTTAGGAGCGGGGGTGTAGGTTTTAGATGAAAACTTGTCAAATCTTTTCACGATTTTATACTAAAGTAATAAAGAATATGTGTATATACGTGCCTATATCCAAGAGAAAACTGAACTTGAAACTGCTTAACGCTAAAATACGTCTGTTAGACCATCCGTTTGTCATCAATAAGCATATAGTGCAATGTCAATCAGAAAAACAACATCTGGTGTCTACTTAGACACACTGCAATCATGGATAATTAGGAAAGTAGTTGGCGCCATCGGTATTACATACTACTTTGTTATGACTACATTCAAAATTTTAATTTTTTGATACTTCAGTCTCAATCTGCAAACAAACATGAAAAGTACGTTTGGAGTTTTACCTATAAGTGAAAGGATTTTAGATGGTACGCCAAGGTTGTTGCTAAAGTAGGATGGATGAGAGCTAGGGAGATTTTCAAGGTGGCGGCTATTTTTCAAGATAGTTATAACGCAAATGGGTCGGTAACCATGTATACTTATAGCAATCCTAAGCCTTATTCTAAACCTTACCTAAACCTAGCCCCAATCCTAACTCTAACAACAAGCCGTTCCCTTAAAGCGAACTCCGAGTTTAAATTTTGAACCATCTTGAAAACCGCCCTCTCTTCCATCATAGTCTTTCGAGACATGGTCTGGAAACTCAGTAAACTTCAAAGCGGCTATAATGAGCTGGGATTTTATGTTGAGCTATACCTTACACCGTGCACATCCTTTGTTTTAGGTTTATCAATATTTAAATAGCATGGTTGAATGACTGAACTGAAACGTTGCTATTGGATGATTCGTTCATTATACTGAAATACAATGTGTTCATTGACCGTGCACCGTGCACAAAACTGCATAAACGCGAACAAAAAGATAGAACAAAGACTTCAGCAGAGTTTCCAAACCATGTTTTGAAAGACTATGCTTCCATTTACTGTAAATAGCGACGTTTCTGTCAACACGGACGTCAGATTGCCGAGGAAGGACTGGACTAAAAACTGTGTTTGTGTGATCTTCAACAAATATCAAAACATAAGATTTTTAAAGTGGGTTTTTTTTTTTGCATCGTAGCTCTCGTGTAAGGATGCAAAAAAATTTTTCCAAATCTTATCTGTCACCAAAATTAGTTATACCAATTTTCGAGTGATGTCCGTGTTGACAATAACGTCGCTTGCTTAATAAGGTGGCTCCCAACAGTTGTCCCTATTTGCCCAACATCTCTACAGTACAGGCCTATTACTGCAGATCGTGCATTCTTTTCTACTTGGAGGCGATATCTAACATCCGTAGAATATTTAGAACTCGGTTTTGACAATTACACTGTTGCCATGGCCACAGTGAAAAATGAACTGGTGACCTATCTTTTTTATTTCATTTATCAATAATAGAGCATGATGTTCTGCAACTATTGAGAAAATTTAATAAAATTCTTTACAGTGCGATTTTTTTAAAGCGAAAATTTTATAACAAGATTTCCACTGTAAAGATTACTAAATAATTTTTTAAAATTTGAAATATATAAAATTTACTCAATTTAAAATTTGTGGTCAAAATTTGAGGATAGGTCACCGATGAAAATAATTTTGCTGCCTTGAAGAGAAAAATCATTTCTAGGCTTTGCCATGTGGAGCATGTTTCGTATTTTATACATATTATTCTTGACATGGCCTGGTTTCTCCCAAGACCACGTGGCCCAGTCTTTCGTGTGAT